TTCACCAGTGTAATCACCCACGAGGATGGGCTTGATCTTTGCCAACTGTGTCCTTTGATGAGGCACGAGACAAAAACTCTTTACTGTTTCTCCATCTTAGGGCAGGATGGCTATGTTACGAAATCTCCCTTTCTTCACCAGAAAGACAGGGACTCTAGGGTGAAGAACATTAGGAGCTCCTGGAGCAGGAGCAGATGTTTTTGTGTGAGAACTCAGGGCCTCCAAAGCTTTTCCCAAAGAGGCTGCCAGCCAGTGCAGGAGAGTCCTGAGATGCCACCTGCTATGTATCAAGAATCCAAGCTGTAGCACAGAAGCTGGCCAGTGAATTCAGGGCCTAAGAAGTGGTACCAGGTCTTGGAGAAAGAAGAGAAGGAACTTTTGCAGAGGCTGCTAAGAAATTCCAACAGACAAGAATGTGGTCTTGGAAGAAATACGTGTTTTTTTTAAAATTCAGCAAAAACAAACAAACTAGGGAATTGTTTTGAAGTTAGAATATAAGAAACCATTCCAAAGCAGATGAACAAAAAGATGGCATCTGCAGGGGCAGTACAAGCAGAAAGACCAGCTTCACCAGGAACTATCCAAACACATTGTAAGCCAAAGTTCAGAAAAGTCAGAGCTAAAGAGAAACTATAAAAAACAGATGCAGAGAGGCTCCGGTTAGTTGTGGAATATTGAAGAGGAGGAAATACGTAATCATTAATCTTCCAAAGCTGTTGGCAGAACTCGTGCACAAAGCTGGACTTTAGCAAACACTAGGACAGTGGCTTCTACAGGAGCCAGTCGTCTCTTCTCAGTATTTATGTTCTACAGGGTGCCTAACATTCCTGGGCGATGTAAGCATAGTGCCTTTTTTTTTTCCTGATTCAAAATGTTCTCATTGTGGAAAATTTGAGAAACTGAAAAGATACTTAAGATCCTCCATAAAAATAACACCCCTGAGAGAAAAGTGCAGTTAATATTTTGTACAAGATTAGGATTATATGGTATGTAGTTATTAAAGTACATCATCTATAACTTTTTGTGTCAAATGTATACATCTATATTTTTTATATGCCTTCATTTATTAAGTTATCTAACAACTATAGTTTTGAGAAAACCAGTAAGAGTTCCTGACTCTCTGCTAGAGTGTTTTTCTGTTTGTTAATATTAAAGGTAGCCAAATAAATAAGTGAGTTTTTCAGAATCATAGCAGGATTTGTCAGGAGTGGGAGGAATATAGGCAGTGGTGGATTTATAAGGCATGGATTTTGTATGGACCATTGCAGGGTTTATGGGCTAGTGACTTGCCTCACTACATTAATTGAACTCATTAGTGAAACCAAGTTTTAAGGGCAAGCTTAATTTTTAAAAATGGGATTTTGAAATACACTTAAATGATCGCAGTTACTGGCAATTAATCATTTGGTATTTAAGGAAAAGTTGTTAATATTCAGTTTGAATTAGAAAGCTATGGAAGTGAGTTTTAACTCATTTATAAGGTGAGAGGGAGGAAAACAGTCTGAATTAGCCTGAACATTCCCAAATGAGAGTTAAATCTCCCTTACAAAAAAAGGCAATGTAATTTTAAAGGGTTAGCACTTTCCCCCTTGGAGGAATATTATATTGTGCATGTCAGTACTGGGGGCTTAGAAAGTAGGAAACATGAAAACAGGAGACTCGATCAGAATTAGAAGAATTTAGAGAGGACTTTTTCCTAAAAAAAAAAAAACAAAAAAACAAAAACAGAAGTTTTGGCTTTGTGATCCTTTAACAAAAAGATCTGCAAACATTTTCCATGTATTATTATACTCATTTCCTAATCCTTAGGCTACAACATGTTTGAAAAATCTGTTTAAGCAGCACAGTTTGAGTCCTTTTCCTATAGAAATCTTCCTCTTGTTCTCCACACTTCCAGTTTCTCCCATATGCTGTTAGGCTCGGACATTCCTGCTCTACCCATCTTTTATTTTTTGAGTTATCCCCCTTTACTCTTTCTGCTTTCTTGAGCCTTTTCCATTATTCTTCACATACCTTCCTTTCAGGCCATCCCTTAAGTTTCTATTGTGTTCTACCTCCTAGTTCAGAAGCCACCACCCAAACTGTAAACCACCCAGTGATGAGAGATCTGCCTGTTGTAAGCAAAACAAACTAATCACCACCTCACTTATTATACGTTTAAACTTAAGAGCAGTGCGTATCTTATGTGTTGTCATAGGATAAATAAAGGCTATTTTTTAAAAATTCTCTACAGTGCTTGCTTAAATTGCTACTGTATAACCCATCATGATTTAAATATCATCCTTAATACCTGATGAGTCTGCTGGGCGCATAACCACACAGTGCAGTTGGTTGGGCCATGGTCCACGACAGCAGACTACCCTGGTCTTCTCTCTGTTTTCACTTGTATTCAGACTTGACGACTGATACAGGAAGTAATAGTTAATATTGTTAAGTAATGAGTTAATATTGCTTAAGACTAAAAACTCTCAAACTACTTTCTATAACTCAGCTACATTTCCACTTAGAGAGCTAGTCAAAAAGTTGTCCATAATTCCTCTTGACAAGCTCTTATTTCAGATTAACCTTAACTGAAAAGCATTGTCTGATACTTGCAGGAATCTGACCACATGGGTCAAACAGGAGGTTCTGTGCGAGGACCCCCAAGGTTGCCACCAAGGTAAGTAAGTGTGAGAAAACTTTTAAGAAGTAAATTAGAGAAAAACTAATGACTCAGACTGGACTCTGTTTTCTGTCATCAAAACTGAGTGTTGTTGGTCCAAGATCTTTTGAAGATGCATTAAACTCCTGAATTCTCCCAGACCACTAGCCTCTACTCTGTTTCTGACATCTGGTTGTAAGAATCTTTGCTCCTTCTTTCTTTTAACACAGCCCAGCAACTCACAGAGCACAAACACTGATCTGTATTGCTTTTCCTCAACTTTTCCTCAACTAAAGGGAACAAGACCCTTTCTAAACCTAAAGCAACTCTGCTTCTTGAACGTCTACATGAACGTACGCACATACTCTCCATTATGAAATCAGCCTGGTTTTTGAAAGCCTTTCCAAAGGGAGACAGGCACTGTGAGCTCAGAGGGGACCTGCCCTCCTGAGTTCCAGAGCTACTTGAACAAAACGCTGTGATGCTATCAGAAGATGTTACTATGTTGGAAATTATTTTTGTCATAGAGATTATGGGAAGACTTTCAAAGTAATGGTTGTCTTACCCATTTTCAGAATTAGCTTTCTTTATATTAATCTAAATTAGGGTTTTAGTAATAATTCCTCTAACGCAAATATTGAGGGAATTTGATGTTCCTTTTCTAATTATGTATGGACCTCGTCAAATATACCTGATACCTTATTATTAGCATTTCATCTCATACTTTAGAAAGTGCTTAGTCTCCTGAAATAGTCATGGTGTGTTTAAGAGTAAATAGTGCCTTGGAGAGCTCATGATAGTAAATGCTTGTTTGTCTTAAACTAATGAATCTCTAGTGCAAGATAAGAGGAAGCTGGAGCATCATGGCATTTCCTCTAATAATATAATGTTTAATGCAGCAGTTGTTTGCTCAAAAATAGCATAGCCTGCATGTTTCAGAAATTGTATTACCCCAGCAGAAAGCTGTGTGTGTGTGTGTGTGTGTGTGTGTGTGTGTGTGTGTGTGTGTGTAAGAAAGAATAAAACAGGACCCTAATATCGATCAAACACTGACTCCCAGCACCTTCATTGACTTTCAGACCTATAAATGGAAAAGTTATACCGACTCGACAACCTCCTCCCAAGGGGGCCCCGGAGAGACCACCTCCCCCGAAACTTTCTGCAACCAGAGCATCAAATAAAAAACTGCCTTTTAATCGGTCTTCTTCTGACATGGATCTTCAGAAAAAACAAAGTAACTTGGCATTTGGACTTTCGAAAGCCAAGAGTCAAGTCTTTAAAAATCAAGATCCGGTGCTGCCCCCTCGCCCCAAACCAGGACACCCTCTTTACAGGAAATATATGGTGAGTGTAGCCCTTAAAAATGTTTGTAATCAAGAGATTTGTTCTAAAGTATATAAATGATCTGTTATTCCTTAGAAAAAGATGATGAGACAAATGGGGACTTGCCCCTTGACACCATAATAGGGCTTTAGAGAAGTAGGCCATAATAAAACTAGGTCTTTAAAGCAGGGTTTCATTATTAGAAGAACTATAGGAAAAGAAAGCAGGGCAGACAGGGAGTGTAACCTGCTGTCTGGCTTGACCAAACAAACTGAAAAACCTGACCCAGTGGATTATACTGATGGGAGTAGCTCTGACAGATATTATAGTTTATAACTTGATATAGTTTATATCTTACAGCTACCTTGCCCACAGACTAAAATTTAAAATGAAATAGAAGGAAATTTCTCATTAAAATGGGTGGTTTTTTTCCTCACTTTCCCCTTTAGAAACCTAATTATCATGGCCTATGTAACAGTTACTGGTTAGAAGCTTTTAATCAATAATTGAGATAGTTGAGATATTAATTTTGTTCTCTTGAATGTGTTTTTTCATCATGTGACTTCAAAACGTTTGTTCATTTCCCACTCTTAAGTGAAAATAGAGCTGATGTGCTCTCTCTACTTTGGTCAGGTTAGCCTGATAAAATGCAAAACAAATAAAAATGAGAAGGAGAACAGAACTGTTTGCACTTTTTTAAATAATTGTGTGACAGTGGCTCTTAACAAAGACAACAATTAACAATATTATGTTATTCTACATTTCCTCATTAAGGAAATTTAAGCCATTTAGGATTTTTCTAATCCTAAGAGAAGGGTATAGACAGATAAGAAAAAGGGTAGTAATGCTCATTTTCATTTTCATTTTCATTTAAACTGATGAATAAAACCCAGGGGTGTTCTTTGGGATAGGTTACTTTAAAATAATAAATAAGAACAGTGAGTGATGTATTGAGTACTTACTATGCGCCCGATATTGTTTAAACACTTTAGGGGTGCCTGGGTGGCTCAGTTGGTTAAGCATCCGACTTCAGCTCAGGTCATGATCTCATGGTTTCGTGGGTTTGAGCCCCGCATCAGGCTCTGTGCTGACAGCTCAGAGCCTGGAGCCTGCTTCGGATTCTGTGTCTCCCTCTCTCTCTCTGCCCTTTTCCCTCTCATGATGTGTCTGTCTCTCAAAAATAAATAAACGTTAAAAAAAAAAAAAAGATTGTTGTTGAAACACTTTATGTGTATTATTCCTCACATCAGCCCTTGAAGTAAATACTGTTATTATTAACCTCTATTATACAAATGAAAAAAATAAGACACAGAGAAGTTGAGGAATTTGTCCAGGGTCACAAAATCAGTTAATGGTAGAGCCAAGATTTGAACGTAGATCAGCTGGCTCTGAGCCCCATGCTCTTAGCCAATAAGCCATACTATGAGTAGTATTAGTAGCTATAAAGTCTCTACTAGCTTTGGACATTCTATGTTAAGAGCCTCATTCAGGAAAAACCATATTTTGCTGGTTCTTAGCATAGCTGTATAATGTCAGTAAAACATTTGGATAGCTCAAATTAATAAATTCAAAATGATAGTATATTAGAGTAGTATGTCTCAGTATGAAATAATTCCTTAAGTCTCTCATTTTTTTCCATGGACATCCCTTGATTAAATTGCTAAAATCAAGACTCTGGTTCCTTTGGGAGCCTGGGACTCTTAACAGGGATGCTGGGAATCACCACCACCCAACCCAGCCTTACAGGGACACATCCTTGCACTCTGAATCTTTGCTTATGAGTGATTGAAATCTGCCTTTTCTTGTTGGAAGTGAGCTTGTGTGATCACACTTCCTGGATATACCCTCTGACCTGCACTTATCAGACCAAATTTATCAAGGCAGGGAACAGTCCTCTGGCTAAGGGTGGGGTGCAGTTGTAAAAGTCATTCTAAGATCAGACAGCTGAGTACGAAGTGACTGGGGTCAGGCAATGAAATGGGTTTAAGTAGATACTTGGTATCAGAGAGACTCTAGGAGAAAAGGAAATTGAAGGCAAATGGAAGCAGTCAAGCCCTACAGAGGAGGCTCCAATCCCCTATCAGCCTTCAGAAGACAGCCATTGAGAACCCTGCAGTAAAGACATGGCTTAGGCTCTGAGGTCAGGTGCTGAGCATTTATCCTTTAAATGCTTTAAATCAGGAGACTTGGTGGGCCTTGTCCTACAGAATAGAACTTCCTGGTTGTACTTGTTAAAGGGAATTTTTGGCCACATTCTTCACATTCCGATACTTAGTATCCATTTCTCATGGATCCCACTAGATCTAGAGCTTGAGGAAGCCAAGTGAAGAGTTTAACTGCTAGAAAAGTTGCACTTTAGGCACACATTTGACATCTCCACATTATCAGCAGTTTATGAGGAGGCTATTTGATTGTGAATAATCCTTTTGTGGGTTTGTGTTTAAGCTGTCTGTGCCTCATGGAATTGCCAATGAAGACATTGTCTCCCAAAACCCTGGAGAACTCTCTTGTAAGGTAAAGTAGAGCTCTTTCTTTACAAACTAATGTAAAAAAATCAGTGTCCTCTGTTACTCCTTTACACATTATTAAATGCTTTAGGCTCCAAAGATTAAAATGTGAAAAAAGTAATAATGTTTTATTAAATAATAATTGCTTCAGAGTGTGATATTGTGCCTTACAGCGTGGGGACGTACTTGTGATGCTGAAGCAGGCAGAAAATAATTACTTGGAATGCCAAAAGGGAGAAGATATTGGCAGAGTTCACCTGTCTCAGATAAAGATTATCACCCCACTTGATGAACATCTTAGAAGCAGACCAAACGTAAGGAATTAATATTGCACAGCTGTCATGTCACACATGGCAGCACATTTCATAGAACTATTAATTATATCTCATCCTCAGGTTTTTATTAGCACGTTTATTTTAACCAGAGTAAAAATTGCAGTAGCATTTTATTTCATTTTAAGAATAAATGACTTCTGAAAGACTTGCCCCTGCCATGTTAATCACTTTGACACACAGAATGACTACCATGTGTTGTCTTCCTCATAGCATACTGACTTACAGCAACCAGAGCACTCACCATTAATATTCAACTGTGAGAGCTATTTTTTTTTCCAAAATAATGTAAACATGTTTACCAAACTGCCCAAAATTAGTTTCCTAACAGAATGGATAATTATTTTAACGGGGGCCCTATAAATGCTAAGTCTGACATTAAAAAGCACTTGCCTTTAAGATTTAAGCTTAGAGTAAACCTCATTTCTCTGATCATAGCTCAAAATAATGAAATGAAATGTAATCCAACAACCTAAAGTCATAGTTTAGGCCTAACAAATTTGTGGAGCCTGGGAGAATGCAATGATTAGCGAAGGTCGTTTGTTTAGCAAGAAAAATAGCATTGAATAATTTATAGAGGTGTATTCGTAAAAGAGCTTCTTAAGTTATCCAGTTAAATTTTCACTATCTGTTAGTTAATGTGGCAAACCTGAAAAATAATACCCACCAATCATTTAACCCAAGTAAAGTATTTGGTTTGCCATTCATCCTAGTTTTCATAATCTAGTCCAATTCTTTCTCCTTAGAAGGCAGTTTATCTTTTGAAGTTTGCCAGGAAACTTAAAAATTTGTTGGGGCGCCTGGGTGGCGCAGTCGGTTAAGCGTCCGACTTCAGCCAGGTCACGATCTCGCGGTCTGTGAGTTCGAGCCCCGCGTCGGGCTCTGGGCTGACAGCTCAGAGCCTGGAGCCTGTTTCCGATTCTGTGTCTCCCTCTCTCTCTGCCCCTCCCCCGTTCATGCTCTGTCTCTCTCTGTCCCAAAAATAAATAAAAAAAAACGTTGAAAAAAAAAAAATTTGTGTCTTGGAGAGCAGAGAAGATATGTGTTAACTAGTCACAGGTAGGATACTGAAATTCTAACTTTAGTCCACACAGGGAAAGTTCTCCTATTACTCATTTTCTCTTTGTTTTGATATAGCATTATCCATCTGTCACAGCCATCCTTCCTCTCTCAGAACACACTGATGGGTGACAGTGGGAGTTATAGGGCCAAAAAGCTTTCCTCAGTGAAAAACAGAAGCTAAAAAATTAGAAGTTACTCTTATAATAGTCCAGAGGTTTGACACTTTAAACATTACCTGCCTTCCTCTTACACCATAGACTTGAAGACACCTGGCCTCCATTGGCCAACTACTGCTGATACCAAAATGAAGCCTCCTTTAGAAAACTCTGGGTTCATGGCTAGCATTACACTTTTTAGAAAAATAAACATTACCTACTTGTAAGCCTAGTTTTAAGGTACAGATTTCTAAAGATGAGTTATACTTTCTCCTGCTTTAGTAAACAGAAAATACTGAACATTATCAGCTGAGGTTGAGCCTGTCAAGTCACAGGGGAAGTGGAAGATTGTTACCTAGTGCCTGGTTGTGAGCACAGATTTATGTCTCAGGGAGCTGGGTTTCAGTTCACTGTATATCACCCTAGGCAGTTTTTTAACCTATCTCTAAACTTTTTTTTTTTTTTTTTT